CTCCAAGCTTTGTTTTTAGCTTTATTTTTGAGATTTTCAGCTGTAGGCTAGTTTATCTCGTCCATGAAAGGTGCGGCCTCAGAAGGAGGACCCCCAACAGAGTAGTTTTTTACAGTATTTACTTCAACCGAAAATTGGTTCCTGGTTCGATCGTACATTTACACAACATTAAAATCTGAATAAAACAGAGCTCCACACCGGGGTAACCTGGAGGGTCCCCACCTGGGAAAAATACTAAAATATAAAATACAATGCAGCATCTTTTAAAAAGCGCATTACTGCTACCAGTGTGGAGGGATCATCACCCAGCATGTCGCGTATGCTATTTGGAAGCCAGTGGAATTCCCGCCGGTTCTTATACTGAGGGCATACGCATAGAATGTGGAGTTCTACAACCGACGCCAGTCCTGTAGAACGGCGTTCCACCGAAATTGTGCGAGATCTTGGTGTGACACGTCCTCAAACGCGACGCTATCTTCTGATCCCGCTGGTTCAGCTGTTCTGTCCATTTCCTCGTCGTTCCTTGCTCACGATCCAGCGCTTGACATCGTATAACGGTACTTCGTTGGTATAGCGAGGGGGCAGTCAGCTTTAGAGTTGCCTGGTATTCCACAGTGCCCCGGAACCCAGCAGAATACCGTGTTTGGTGGCGCGGACTTCATCGTCGCCTGCACCCAGGGATGAGTCGGGGCTTGTATGACGCTGTGCGAATCTGTGAGGACCAGGATCGGTCGATAATTGCACTCGCCACGTAAAAACGGATGCTGTGGTTGTTCGATCTATTCTGTCGGGAAATGGTCCGGATGAGATTCACTCGGCTGCGGCAATTTTTCTTGACTGCACTGGAATGCTGTTCAAAGTTGAGGAATCGGTCAACGAGAACTCCCAGAACTCGGACGGTCTTCTTCAGCGGTATGGACTGGTCGTCGGTTTTGATCGCTGGTCCGCTAATTCTGTGTCGAGAAGGGCAGACATGGCGGCACCTGATGCTTTTAGAGGCTGTTAATTCAAAGCCTACTGAGTGGGCCCACCTGGCGACGGCGGAGACTGCCGTTTGGGCTCTCATTCTTGTGCGTACTGGCGTGGGTCCGGTGGTGACGATGAGGATGTCGTCGGCGTAGACGAACACATAATATATGTTTTTCGGTAGTTGACGGAAGATTCCGTTCATCGCCACGAGGAACAGGGTAACGGTGAGAACCGATCCTTGTGGGACACCCGTTTCCGCGGGGAAAAGCCAGGATTTGGTGTTGCCGACTGTGACTCGGAATGAGCGGTTGGACAAGAAGTTCTGTATGAAGTGAACGATTAGTTGCTTAAGGACGAGGGGCGTCCACGTTCTGTTGAAAGCCTTCGATATGTCGAGCGATACTATCTCGGTGTGCAGACCACTGTCGTAGGCGTTCTTGAGAACTTCCCCTAGGGTTGCGAAATAGGTGGACGTTCCGAAACCTTGTCGGAAAGCGTGCTGTCGGTGATCAAGGAAATTTCCAGCTTCAGTCTTCGATTGACCATATGCTCTAGGACTTTGGCCATACAACAGCTAATCGAACGGTAGCAGATAACCTATGGAGTCTAGAAGGTTGAATGGTAGTACTCCACTTTCGACGCAAGCTGCAATTGCAGATTGGAATTTGCTGGTCTCCATGTATACAATTATGGTTTCAGAAATGGCAAGGACGTGGTCGGCGCCAATGTTGTCCTTTATCAATATTTGGAGTCGCTGAATCGTGTAATGAAATTGAACTCACGATCTCCTGCTCAGGAAGCAAAAACGGTCGCCACTAGGCCATCGAGCCCCGCAAATCACAGCAAACCACTGCGACCGACGGTGGTTTAAGCCCGGCGACTTGAAACTATTGCAAATGAAGGAAGGAGTAGTCAACTTTGTTTTCGAACCCGGATCGACTTCTTCTTGTTCAACCATGTTTGTGTCTCTTCTAGTTCGGAGAAATTCTAGATCGATAAGTTGGGTAATCGAAACGGATCATTACAATGCAATCTACGCAACGCATAACGAAGAAAGCGACGTTGAACAGATTCAATTCTCTCGGCACCGTTGTTGTGTAGTTTGGGTTCCAAACCGCTGAACAATACTCAAGCGTCGATCGAACAAACGAGCAATAGAGAGATTTTAGAAAGTAGATATCGGTGAAGTTTTTAGCTATCCTAAAAAAATGAACCCTAAAGTTCTTGACGCCTTATCGACAACATATTGCAACACATTGCTTGAATGAACATCCAAGTCTTTCACCTGATTCACGCGTTCGATTTTCGAGCCAAGCAGGTCATAGCTAAATATTATCGGTTGTTGTTGTTTTCGTGAGAACGTGATAGCGAAGCATTCGGCTGGGTTCACTACCATTCTGGTTAACCTGCACCAACTAGCGAATACATTCAGCTGACGTTGAAGAAAGTGACAGTCAGCAATGGAGCGGATTCGTAGGAAGATTTCGAGGTCATCTGCATATGATAACCGGAGGAGCTTCCATGACCAGATGCACGTCGTTGAAGTACAGTATAAAAATTAACGGTCCCATGTGACTTCCCTGAGGTATACCTGATGTGGCGAAGAAGCTAGCTGATCTGCAATCTCCTATGGCAACCTTTAGTTGCCGACCGGTAAGATATGATCGAAACCAACTCAGAAGATTACCGCATACACCGAGCCTGCCGAGTTTAGCAATCGCAATAGCATGGTTCAACTTGTCGAATGCTGCGGATAGGTCTGAATAAATAACGTCCGTTTGAACCCGATCCGACATGCTTTCGGTTATATACGATGTGAGACACAGCAGATTGGTGGTTGTAGAGCGGCCGACAGTAAACCCATGTTGATCAGCACTCAAATACTGCTTGCAATGGAACAGCAATGGTCCCATAATCACTAGCTCGAATAGGTTCTAAACGGCACTTAACGATGTAATTCCTCGATAGTTATCCACAGCTCGTTTCCTTCCTTTTTGTGGACGGGAAACATGTGCGCAAATTTCTAGCAGGATGGAAATATGCCACTGTAGAGAGACATGTAGAACAGGCGATGAAGCGGAATTAACAAGCTAGCAATATGTCTCTTCAAAAATACAGATGGAACTCCATCAGGTCCAGGATTGAAGGATGACTTCAGCAGAGTCGTGGTATTGTCCGTTGAATTCCATTGACGGTGGGAGGCCGGATTCCCTGCGTTGCTCGCTCACGTAGTTTCAAAAGGATTTCGGGTGTAGCTTACGTTTGCGTTGGATGCCTGAAAAGCATTCACGACTGACTCGCTGGTACATGTGGTACAGCCTCACATAAGTGTAGTTTCAGAGGAAGCGTGCGATACTTCGTAAATCTTCTCAATGCTGCTCTCTTGATTGACTTCAACCTACGTAGCTCTCTCGTCTGCCAGGGAGGGTGAGACACTTTGTGGTGAGTTCTTTTCGGGGCGTGTCTGTCAATGACATATGCCAAGACATGTGAAAAGCATTGCGCTGCAGCCTCAACGTCATGCATTAGTATAATTGTGTGGCTATATGCAACAGGGAAGTCAAGAAATTTTACAAGCGCCCTTTGTAAAAGTTCAAGAAAAGCACAGACTGATTCTCTCTTTATTCTTCAAAAGACATTTTCGATATCGATTAGTATCATTGAAAAAAAAATTCGATCGTGTACGCGGATTTGGCGCAAATGGTATTACAAATTTGTCGTAACCTGTCCTTACCATTCAACCTGCTTAGGTTCGTGCAGCAGTTGTATTCGCTGGTGCGTGATGTCTTGTTGTGTTATAGTATTGTTCCTTGTTTTTAACCTCTGCATTATGTACAAAAAATATAAACGATGAGCTTCCATCTCCATGAGGCTCATCGACCGTATCCAGAATGCTAGATCATACTTCTTTCCGTTGCAACTACCGTCTACCACATCTCAACTAGACGGTATACCGAAAGTCAGAGACACTACTATTTATACCTAGAACGATGCACCAATACTATAACCAATCAGAAATCATGTATGAATTACAATTTTGAGTAAATCAGTGCTTCCATCATGGGGCTATAGTAGCTATATTTATAGTCTGGCGGATAGAATCTCGGGAATCAATCGAGCATATCACGACCAACAACAGAAAAGAGCACATCAGCTTTCGCGATCAAAACTTCGGAAAACCTTTTCTCGTGACTCAATGCTCGCCTACGCAAGCCAACACCATCATCGGTGGGGGAAAGTTTCCCTATTTGATGATGCTGATAATTTGCGTTTTGTTGGCGAGGAAAGAACTATCATTTCACTGTAAAACATCGTCACTAAAACACTACCGCCATCTGTTGAGTAAACTGTCATATGCACTAAGCTCAAGAGATGGCGGTAGTGTGTAAACGTCAAGCGCAAATATTTAATTGCCTTAAATGCGTTTTCGATGAAAAACATGCAAGGTTTATGTCTGTTTGTCTGTGATCAAAGTATTATTTTACCTTTTCAATTGTTGGTCTACAATATGTTGAATTGATTCCACTTTTGGGTAGATCGGAATTCTATCCGTCAGACAAATATAGCGACTATACTCTAGCCTAGTCAGTTCAGGCACGGTTTTATCAAGCCGGAGGCGGTGGGTTCGATTCCCGATCCGGTCTAGAAAATGACCGGGTTGTCACGGGCAGCTGTTACAGCATTTTAATTGTAACATTGAGTAGCATACAAAATGATAACCTTCGAGTGCTCTATTTTACCCATTACTGCTCGCTCGTGAACTCTTAGTCATTCCTATTGAACCATCCGCATTCTGTACCAAATCATAAACGGTGATCTTCCACTCCATGAGGTTCACCGATCGTCGCCAGAATGCCAGATCATACTTCTTTCCGTTGCAACTATCGTCTACCACATATCAACTAGACGGTATACTGAAAGTCAGAGACAGTTGCCATTTCGTCGACACCACCCCTTCGTTGAACTTCAACGCAGAACAATCAACTAACGACCGTGCTATTTTTTTTTTTGTTTTTGTTCAACCCCCGCAGCATGGATGCGTACAACATCATCAAGTACCCGCTGACGACGGAAGCGGCGATGAAGAAGATCGAGGACAACAACACCCTGGTGTTCCTGATCCATCTGCGCGCCAACAAGAACCACGTCAAGGCCGCCGTCAAGAAGCTGTACGACATCAAGGTCTCCAAGATCAACACCCTGGTGCGACCGGACGGCAAGAAGAAGGCGTACGTGCGGCTAGCCCGCGATTACGATGCGTTGGACATCGCCAACAAGATCGGTATCATCTAAGCCTCCAAACGCCGTGTTCTGTGCGTATTCCCTTATTCTTTTATGCTTGAATTGTATTGTTCTCTTAGCTTCTAATTACGAACGGTAGGAATTTCTGGGAAAGATGAATATATATGAATCCAACTTTCATAAAAGAAGAAGCGACATCGCTGCGCTGTGTTTTTCAATTCCTCCCAAATTAAGTGGAAAAAAAAGAAGGCGCAACACTGTTGTGTGATAGAAGAGTGTGCGAGCGCGTAACCGAGAAATCGCGTTTGATGCAAAAGAAAGATCTACAAAACAAACCCGACAGTTGGCTTGGCATCTCTTGAAGGATATATCCGAAATCTTCCCTCTAATCTGATTTGGATAACGTGTACACGGCGAATAAGAACGACCCAACTTTGAGTTCAGTTCAGTCATAATCGCCAAAAGTACCTCAAAAATCTGCCGGAAAATGAGAAAAATTCACGAAAATTTTACCCCGCCTATAGAAGTAGTACCAAATATATTCCCCCCTATTCTGCGAGTCACGTGACTCTCTCTCACCGGTGAGGTGACAATAGTCACCTCGTGTGAGGTGACTCTCCATTTGATTTGCATGGAGAGTCACCTCACACGAGGTGACAATTATTATTATTATTATTTAGCTTTATTAAAGAGGCTTTCAGCCTTGGGCTGGTTCGCCTCCAAGAGAGGTGACAATTGTCACCTCACCGGTGAGAGAGAGTCACGTGACTCGCAGAATAAGGGGGATTGAGTGAATCCAATCTTTACTTTTCTCATATTCGGGAAGTTTTTCCTGGACACCTGGAAAAACATAAGGCAAATTTAAACGCTGGCCAGACTGAGCAGTTATAACCTGGGGGGGGACGTGCTGCCAAATCAGCCTACTGATCATCTTGTATGAAACTGGTTCCAAACGTAAACAAACGCTGTAGGTTTCTTATGACTTGTTTACGTTTGGAACCAGTTATGCGAGGTAGGCGACGATTGTTCGTATTTGACAGCCATCTCCCCCCCCCCCCCCCCCTTGGTTATAACATGTTATAACGGTTGTCAAATAATTGCAACACAGAAACCACCATCAAGATAGCGCTATAACATGTTATAACCATAGAGATAACTCTAAGACCAGAAGGTCCCGAAGAACGTGCTCAACTATTTGGCTCAGCTCTGGTACTATCTTCGGTCCCAAGCTAATCGATTCATCATAGGAAAAACCAATAACCCCTCATTTTACCTGTCAAACTTTCATAGCGAATCAAAACAAATAAAGTGTAGTACTAGAAGTTTGACTAGAATGAGGTACGTTAATCGATTTGCTTGGGACCAATAGGCTAGTCAAGTAGTGAGCCAATTTAAAATCGTTAGTTTCCGTCGGTTGTTATAACTCTGTAGACTGAACGTTTACTCATCGTTGAGTTCCTGCACTTAGTGATTTATGAGTTCACTAAACTCAAATTTGGGTCGTTAACATTCGCCTTGTAGCCCCTCATGTAGTAAAGCCGCACTATTTGACGAAGGAATGAAAAATAGGGGCTTTTCGTGCAATAACTGAATTTCGATCAATTCTTATCACATACATCATAGTAGCCTGATGAAGAAGTCGTATGACAAATTCGTTTCGATCGTTAAGGTGGAATACCTTAGAGCACCCGCACCAATGCGTTGCTATTCGGGCTGCTAGTTTGACAACTTTAACCATTGCTATTGCTAACTAAAACTTGTTTACGCACCGGTCGTTGCTATCACGATTGTGAATTCACGTTTTCGGTTTTCGCACCGATAGTTGCTAAACTTATCGTCGAACTTCGAACTGAAACTGATCACACAGAGTTTCGTGATTGTTTTTTCGGCAATATTGGCATACCTAACCATGAAGACTGAAGATTAACGGTTAAGATCCAACTACAGACCCAGGTACTCAAGAAACGGTCCTCCGGAAGATCCGAATAGTCACTTTAATCACTTGTTGTGATGCTACATGAATGAATTTGAATCTGGGACCAACATGCGCACACCGTTGGTCACGAAACTGTCCTCTGGGATATCCGGAACATCCATAAAAGTGGTCAAATCGTAAAAATGATCGAAATGTCGATCTTTGTATGCTCATCTTATAAAAGTTGCGCACCAAAAGGCATTTTTGGATGCCCATCTGGATTAATAGATTACATATTTTAGCTTGTGAATTTATCAAAAATGTTGAAACGTTTAAGAAGTTCTGATTGATAGAAATGTGGGGAAGTTAAAAGATCTTTAAGCAAGGCAATCTAATAGATTTCAGGAAAATTTACTTCAACGAAGATCAAGAGCTTCAGGGCAGTTCCATTAAATTCAGGAAAATTTAAACTTAAAGGCCTATGAGTAAGTTACGTGAACTTGGGGTAAGTTCTGAAAATGTTTGCAGTTCCATGAATATCAGGAAAACTGTGAGAACTGGAGGGACGTTCCTAAAACATAAAGTTCGTTCCGAGAACTTTATGGCACCATCAAGAAGATCCGAAAATTTAAGGACAGTAAAAAAAATTCAGGGAATGAAAATCATTAAGAAAGCTACACAGCAGATCCATGTTTACAGGGAAGTTTAAAAATCTTTTGGGCAGTTCCATTAATTTCTGAACAATTCCAGGAATATCATCAGGAGATCATAAGAAAAGTTCCATATAACTCCAGGAAACAATAGAGATCTTAAGGAGAGTCTGAGGAATGAAAAGAAGTACTGAGAATTTCAGGAAGTTTTATAGGCAAACTGTGGGAACAAAAGGTAAGTTCCGAAAACTTCTGGAAATTTTGGTGAACTTCAGGCAAACTTCAGCATTTCCAAAGTGGTTCCAAAAACTTTAGGAAACTGCAGGAACTCTTAAGACAATTTGAGAAATTCAGGGATATCCAGAGAACTTTAAAGAAGTCAAAATAATTTCAGAGATGTGGAGATAACTTGAGGAAAATTGACTTTTCAAAGAACTTTCAAGTACCTCAAAGAAGTTAGACTAGAGAGCTTAAGGGAATTTCAGAGATATTAACGGTACTTTCAATAACTTCATATCTTCATGAAATTCAAGAAATTCCAAACTTTTAGGGAAGTTCGAAGATTTGTATGGGTAAGGTCCAATAAATTCTGCTCAGTTCCATAAACTTCAGAAAAACATCGAGAATTTTTTTTTTTACATTTCTATTTAGTTCAGGGTAATACCAAGAACTTCAATAGAATTGAGAGAAACTAAGAACAGTTCAACTAATTTCAAGGAAATTGAACAATTTATAAGAAGTTCCAAGAAACTCAGAGAATTTCCGAAACTTCATCAAAGTACCAAGACCTTTATTTAAATTTCAGAAACATAAGAGATGTTACATGAGCATCAGGAAAATGAGACATCATTTTAAGGGAGTTCCATGGTTTTCAATGCAGTTTAAAGAACTGCAAAACAATGCAGGAACTTTAGCAACGATGAGATTATGTTCAAGAAAATCGCAAGATCTTTTAAAATGTTCAGAAATCTTCATGAAAGTCTAGAGACCTTCAGAGAAGTATATAGATTTTTTGGTAGTTTCAATATATTTTGGGAAGTTCTCGGAACTTCGTAGCTGATTGTAGATCTTCATATCAGTTTCATTTATTTAAGGAAAATTGCAGGATATTTCAAGGATTTCAAAAGAATTATGGGATCTTTCAAGAATTTCATGAATTTTCCGATACTTCAGAAACAATGCGAGGTCTTCAGGAAATTTTATAAATATGATTAAAATTTCCGGAACAATAGAAGAATTAATGAACTTCAGGAAAGATTCAAAACCTCACGGAAGTAAAACTAGGATTTTTATGCAAATTGTCTACTTTTGTGGATGTTCAAAATCTTCCAGAGAACCACACCGCTACCTGATTACATATGCTAGTCCTAGATCCTAATTCATACATGTAGCTTCAGAAAAAGTGAATCGTGAAGCTCTTGAATCTTTTTTATGAATTGATCACTTTTACGCCGAAAGACCGGGTTGTGGCCAGCAGAGTTCGCATGCTGGTCCCAGATCCAAATTCATTAATGTAGCATCAAAATAAGTGATTTAAAAAAAATATGGAGCTCTAGGATCTTTTCTACTAACTGGCCCTCTTTACGAATGTTTCGGATCTTTCGAAGGACCGTTCCATGGCCACAATAGTGCACATACTGGTTTCAAATCCATATTCATTCATGCAGCATAACATTAAGTTGATTAAAAAAAATCCTTTTTTACTATTTTTCCACATTTACGGATGTTCCGGGTCTTCCAAAGGAATGCTTTGCTGTCCCTTGGGTCCACATTTTTGTCCCAAATCCATATTTATTCATATATCACAATGTTCAAATGAAAAACAAAACAAACATTTCATAGATAGCAACGCTTGGGCCGGTTGCTATCGCGCTGCTATATTTGTCAACCCGCTGTTCACCGAGAGGCAAATTGTTATTTCCCGCACTTGAATTGCAAGCCCCAGTGCGGTTACTGCGGTATGGTAGAGGTTGCTAAAATAACTTTAGCAACGCATTGGTGCGAGTGCTCTTAGAGCAACCATACCAATAAGTAAATAAGGCACATTTATCAACCTCTACCATAACGCTACTTGTGTACCGGGGGTTGCTATTCAGGTGGCGGAAATAGCAATCCGCACCTTGGGAAGTAGTGAGTTCATAAATTTAGCAAACCGGTAGCAACGCATCAGACGGTTGCTATTTTGAATAAACGCCAAAAGTTTGTTTTGCCGGTGTGGAAAACGGTAACTTAAATTATGACTCTGATAGCAACGACCGGTGTGGAGAGGAGTGATTAAGCCAAAATGGAAACGCTGTGCGTAAGTAAAATCACAAACGAAGTGACAGACGACTTACCGGCGAAGAAATCCATTTAAATAATGTGGTTCACTGTAATAGAATTTTCTTGGAAGCTTGTGCCATCATCCACCAGATGGGTTAGTTTTTTTGTTTTGATTTGAACAAAGTTGATTTTGTGTACAATGATTCTTTGACAGTGTGCAAAGAGTGCGTATCATTTTGTAATTTTTTATGCATTTCAGTTTTGAGTAGAGTGAAAGAGATAGAACCAAAATATTCTAGTACATTTGGTGAAAATGCTAGTTCAATCCAAGTAGTGTTGCCATGTGGTACACTGAAAA